TTGATAAATTCTCATCTAAATCCCTAAATATCTAAAATTACATCCCTTAATACTATAACTGGGCATTATTAAACCTAAATCTACCCCAATAACCAAAAAAAAAAATAATAAAAACTTAAAAATAAAAAATAAAAAAAAAAAAATAAAAAATTACTATACACTGAAAGCTATTGTTCCCTGTATTCACCTTGTCTATATTTAGTTATGTGAAAGAATGTTAACATGACATAATGACATTAAAAGTGGTTTATATAACTGCCTTTAACATTTTTCCCACAGTGTTTTTCCTATATCAGTTGTAATAGGGAATAAATCTCAAACAAGAGCCAGTTCAAAAATGTTTTAAATATTAATATTTAATTCATTGACATTAACTTTTTATATCTAATAAAATTTAGTCCTCAGTTATAAAATAGGAAAAGTTGAGTTGGAGGTGACTCAAGTGAGTCTGTGATTAGTTCTAGATCACAATATATTTGAAACAAATTGAAACTGATATGTATAGAAAGAGAAAAAGGCTATAATCTATAAGTTCTTTGAAAGCAGTTAGTAAGATATTTAAAATAAATCTCAAATTTTTACTAAGATATTTATTTAGTGGCTTGGAAAGCAAGAGTAAAATGGAGATTTTTCCTGGGCCTTTTGAACTGTGAATTGTTATCTAGGTCAGCAGTCCCCAACCTTTTTGGCAATCAGGGGCCAATTTCATGGAAGACAAAATTTTCTCCATATGAGGGCGGAGCTCAGGCAGTGATACCAGCCATGGGGAGCAGATGTAAATCCAGATGAACTTCCTTTTTCACCTAGTGCTCACCTCTTGCTGGTTGTCAGTTCCTAATTTAATGGAAGACAATTTTCCATGGGATGGCGCGCTGGGGCTGGATGGAGAGGCAGAACCCAGGTGAGTAATACACACCTAGTTCTTAACAGGCCATGAACTGGTAGGTGGACATGCCCAGGGTTGGGACCACAGTTCTAGATGAGCATCTTAACATTCATTTATCAGTGTCAATCTGCTGTGTTCACAGCACTCTCCTAGCCTAGGGTTGCAAAAATACCTGAAACAAGTCTCTGTGTTCAACTGCTTGCTTGTGGAAGACTGATGACACAAGATAATTGCTGGTGGACTCCCCAGGTTATAAAGGAAGCTTTGAGTTAGGACACTGAACGCAGCTTGGTAGGTTTTTGATAGAGGTTAACAATTATTGATGAGTTAGCTGGAAATATAAAATTTTCTCAGATAGTTTTCAAAGGTAGCTGTCCTAGTTCAACCTTAATGCTTTGGGATTGCTGATTCCATTAGGTAAATATAGCAAACAGCAAGGAATTGTTGTGGGATATGTTGATGGCATAAGAGGAAAGCACATTTTTAGGGAGAACAGAGAGATTTATCCTTTATATAGTTCAGAGTGTTTACAAAGCAACCAAACAAGTCATGTTGTCCTTTAAAATGTAACTTTTCCCAACAAGATCAAATCAGAACTAAACGAAATTGAAAACAGGGAAGCTATTCAGGAGATTAATAAACAAAATTGGGTTCTTTTGAAAAAATAAACAAAATTGACGCACACCATTGGCTAAGCTACGAAAAGCAGAAAAGAGAAATCTCTAATAAGCTCCATCAAGAATAAAAAGAGATATCACAACTGATCCCAGAAGAATACAAGATACAATTTATGAATACTACAAAATCTTTATGCACACAAACTAGAAAATGTGGAGGAAATGGACAAATTTCTAGAAACCACAGCCTCCCTTAGGCTTCAACCAGAAAGAAATAGATTCCCTGACAGACCAATCTCAACAGCTGAAATAGAAACAGCAATTAAAAATCTTCCCTAAAAAGAAAAGTCCCGGTCCAGATGGCTTCACACCTGGAATTTTACCATACTTAAAAGAAGAACTATACCTATCTTGCAGAAACTATTCCATAACATCGAGAAGAACGGAAACCTCCCTGACACCTTTTATGAAGCGAATATTACTCTGATACCAAAACCAGGAAAGGATGCAACAAAAAAAGAAAAACTACATACCAATATTCCTAATGAATATAGATGCAAAATTTTCAACAAAATCTTAGCTGAACTGAATCCAGACACTTATCAAAAAATAATCACCACGACCAAGTGGCTTCACCCAGGGATGCAGGGATGGTTCAACATACGTAAATCTATAAATGCAATTCACCACATAAACAGAAGCAAAAACAAAGACCACATGATTCTTTCAATAGATGCAGAAAAAGCTTTTGACAAAATTCACACCCTTTCATGATACGAACACTTAAGAAAATAGGCATAGAAGGGACATACCTAAAAATGATACAAGCCATATATGACAGACCCATAGCCAACATCATACTGAATGGGAAAAATTGAATCATTCCCACTTAAACGGAACCAGACAAGGCTGCCCACTATCTCCACTTCTGTTCACATAGTACTGGAATCTTGCTACGCAATCAGACAGGAAAATGGAATCAAAGGTATCCAAATAGGGCAGAAGAGATCAACTTTCACTGTTTGCTGATGATATGATATTGTATCTAGAAAACCCCAAGATATCAACCAAGAAACTCCTGGAACTTTCAATGAATTTAGTAAAGTCTTAGGATACAAAATCAATACACAGAAACAGAGGCGTTCATATACGCCAACAACAATCTAATTGAGAACCAAATCAAAGACTCAATTCCCTTCACAATAGAAACAAAGAAATTAAAGTACCTAGGAATATACTTAACCAAGGATGTAAAAGATCTCTACAGGGAGAACTATGAAACACCGAGGAAGGAAATAGCAGAGGATGTAAACAGATGGAATTCCATACCATGCTCGTGGATCGGCAGACTCAATATCATCAAAATGTCTTATACTAGCCAAACTGATCTACAGATTCAATGCAATACCTATTAAAATCCCATCAGCATTCTTCACAGATATAGAAAAAATAATTTTATGCTTCGTATGGAACCAAAGAAGACCCCGAATATCAAGAGCAATTCTAGGCAACAAAAACAAATGGGAGCATTAATATGCCAGATATCAAACTATACTACAAACTGTAGTAATTAATACAATATGGTATTGGCACAAAAATAGGAATATTGACCATGGAACAGATGTGAGAATCCTGATATAAAACCATCCTCATATAGCCATCTAATCTTTGACAAAGCAGACAAAAACATACGCTGGGGAAAAGAATCCTTTTCAATAAATGGTGCTGGAAAACTGGATAGCCCACCTGTAGAAGGCTAAAACAGGACCCACACCTTTCACCTCTCACAAAAACCAACTCAGTTGGATAACAGACTTAACCTAAGGTATGAAACGATTAGAACTCTAGAGGAAAAAGTTGGAAACACTCTCCTAGACATCGGCCTGGGCAAAGATTTATGAAGAAGTCCCAAAGCAATCACAGCAGCAACAAAAATAAATAAATGGACATGATCAAACTACAAAGCTTCTGCACAGCCAAAGAAATAGTCATGAAAGTAAACAGACAACCTACAGAATGGGAGAAAATTTTTGCATCCTATGCATCCGATAAGGACTGATAACTAGAATATACTTAGAACTCACGAAAATCAGGAAGAAAAAATCAAATAACCCCATTAAAAAGTAGGCAAAGGACTTGAACAGAAACTTTCTAAAGAAGACAGAAGAATGCCAACAAACATATGAAAAAATGCTCAACATCTCTAATCATCAGGGAAATGCAAATCAAAACCACAATGAGATATCACTTAACCCCAGTGAGAATGGCCTTTATCAAAAAATCTCCAAACAATAAATTGCTGGCGTGGTTGCGGAGAGAGAGGAACACCTACACGCTGGTGGGACTGCAAACTAGTTCAACCTCTGTGGAAAGCAATATGGAGATACCTTAAAGCGATACAAGTGAATCTACCATTTGATCCAGCAATCCCATTGCTGGGCATCTACCCAAATGATCCAATGACACTCTACAAAAAAGACACCTGCACTCGAATGTTTATAGCAGCACAATTCATAATTGCAAGGCTGTGGAAACAGCCCAAGTGCCCATCAATCCAAGAATGGATTAATAAAATGTGGTATATGTATACCATGGAGTACTATTCAGCTCTAAGAAACAATGGTGATATAGCACATCTTATATTTTCCTGGTTAGAGCTGGAACCCATACTACTAAGTGAAGTATCCCAAGAATGGAAAAACAAGCACCAGATATATTCTCCAGCAAACTGGTATTAACTGAGTAGCACCTAAGTGGACACATAGGTACTGCAGTAATAGGGTATTGGGGAGGTGTGGAGGGGGAGGGGCGGTATATATAACATAATGAGTGAGATGTGCACCATCTGGGGGATGGTCATGATGGAGACTCAGACTTTTGGGGAGGGGGGAAATGGCATTTATTGAAACCTTAAAATCTGTACCCCCATAATATGCCGAAATTAAAAAAAATGTAACTTTTCCTTATGAATATGCATTTGTGTGTGTGATATTTATATATAGCTATATAAAAATATATATATATATATATATTTTGATATTGGGTTCTATGGAACAATATCAAAGATTGGTATCAAGTACCATCAAAATATGGTTCTATAAAGTTTGTATATGTAAACAACATTAGATTTTCAGAAAATAGATAAGAATACAAAATGGATGGTCCTTCTGTTATTTTTTTCTTAAATACAATTATATAAAATGCCACGTGTGGCTGATAGAGACTATAGCTCAGTGGTTTTAAAATGTGTAGTGTTCAGTCCTGAAAGATGTTGAAATCATTGGTCTAGAATGGAGAAAAAATATGAGCATTTTGTAAAATGTCCTTAGGTGAACCTGAAGTCCACCTCTGGTTAAGAACCACACAGTTTTAATTTAAGATATTCTTTAAATGTCTGAAAATTTTCCTGGTACAATTTCATCTTCCTTTTATTTCATGTCTTCCTTTCATTTCACAAAATTAAAGGTAAAAATCAAAATTTCTTTCTTCTTCTTTAGATTCCAGGTATATACAATTCACCATTCAGAAAAGAGCCTGACCCATGGGAATTGCGGTTACAGAAGGTAAAGCCTTTAACACACCGAAAACCCAAAGTGAAGGAGGAGTACAACACAGACCTTACCAGCTGGCTCGCTTGCACGAGTGCCCGTTCTTTTCCTCCATCTGAAATTCTGCCACCTATTAATAGGAAGCAATGTCAGGTACTGATTAGCCGTATAAGAATTCTGTCATTAATTTTATTCTTGCTATTTTCCCCAATTTTGATATTATGGTAAAATACAAACATAAAATGTATTATCTTAAACATTTTTAAGTGTGCAGTTTGGTGATATTAAGTACATTCATATTTTTGTGCAATCACCACCACTATCTGCCTCTAGAATTCTTTTCACCTTGCAAAATTGAAACTTCATACCCATTAAACAACTCTTCATTTCCTCTTCAGCCATCCCCTGACATGGCTTATTTTCACTCGATATAATGTTCTTAGAGTTCATCCATGTTAAATTCAAGTTTAGCAGTTGTCTGTTTTCTGAATTTCCTTTCTTTTTAAGGCTGAATACTACTCCATTGTATGTACATAGCACATTTTGCTTATCCGTTTATCCACTGATGAACACTTGGGCTGCTTCCACGTTTTAGCTATTGTGAATAATGCTACTATGAACGTAGGTCTACAAGATCTCTTCAAGACTGTTTTCATTTCTTTTGAGAATATAACTAAAATTGGCATTGCCAGATCATATGATAATTCTATTTGTAATTTTTTGAGGAGCTACCATACTGTTTCCCATAACGGCTAATGATGTTGAGCATCTTTTAATGTGCTTATTGGCCATTTGTATATCTTCTTTGGAGAAATGTCTATTCAAGTCTTTTGCCCATTTTTGAATTGTTTGGTTTTTTTGTTGTTGACTTTTAAGAGTTCTCTATATATTCTGGATATTAATACCATATCAGATATATGACTAGCATATATATTTTCTTATTCTATGTGTTTTCTTTTAGCTATGTTGGTAGTATCTTGCTTTTAAAAAAATATTGTTTTAATTTATATCTTTGTGACCAGAGGAAAAATATTTTTTATAAAATCTGATTTTGAATAAAAAATATAAATTACTTTAAATATATATGCCAAGGGAGTAAAAAGATGCTTTTTTGGTATTGAATTTTATTATGTTGAATATGAAGTTAAAACATGGATAATTGCCTAGAATCTGACTTTTTTATGTAAAAATATTATCATAGCACTATTTGATATAACTTATTCTTACTGAAAGAATATGTATTATCAAATTTATTTAATTTAACCTCTCATATGATGAGGTATGTCTTTATATAACATTTTAAACATAACTTGGGTTTGAATAATTTAAAAAGTGTGAGTTTGAGAATTAGACACAGCCCCAAACAAAGCAAGACTCATAGCAGAGACAGGAAATCTTTACTATAACTGGATTAAAATAGAACAGGATTGGCAAATGAGTTTCTGGGGCTAAAAGGTAAAGTGGGGTGGGGTGGGTGATAATTGTCCCCATCCTAAAAGTCCCAGAAAACAACGGTTCTATCATCTCCATCAATATTATGCTACAGAAGACATCTGCGACCAAAGAGTATCAACCGGAAATTGGGTTGGGTTTGGTCTACACAGTTAGACTCCCAGAACTCCTGACCATTAGCTCCCTACACAGGTTTGTCTCTGTGTAACTGTTGCTGTATGACAAAGTACTCTAAAATCCAGTGGGTTAAACCAGCATACATTTGTTATTTTATAGTATCTGTGGGTCAGCACTCCAGGTACAGCTTTTGGTGAGTGCCTCTGACTGAAGTTCTCTCACGATGTTGTAGTCAAGATGTCAGCCAGGACTGCAGACTCATCTGAAGGCTCAGATGGAGGGTGGGGATAGGAGAGCAGGTTGGTTCTCTCACTCAACGTGGTTGGTTGTTGTCATGTCTCAGCCCCTTCTCAGGGTGGCCTCTCCACAGAGCTGCCTCACAACATGGCAGCTGGCTTCCCTCAGGGTACATGATCCTGGAGAGGGTGAGAAAGAGCTCTCAAAACAAAAGTTTTGTAATTTAATGCCAGAAGTGACGTCCCATCACTTCTTCTGTATTCTATTTGTGAGAAATCAGTAAGTCTATTCCACACTCAAGGACAAGCAATTACCCAAAGCTTGAATACCAGGAGGCAGGGATCTTTGGAGGCCATCTTAGAGACTGCCTTTCACACCCCAACCATTGGATCAACCTTGCAAGGAGATAACCCTGCATTCTGTGCCTTTGAAAAATTTCCCACTTTACTGTAATTATTTATGATATTTTGTATTTCTGTTCTCTATAATCATGCCCATAATTCCCTTTATTTATATTTTTCTTTGCTCTCTCAAAACTGCTATTACTGATAATTAATACCTTCACCTCATGGTTTATATTATATTATTGAAGGAGCTATAAAATGTAATTGAAATTCTATAAAGTTAATTTTTCCTCTGAACAAATTTCTCTTTTTCTTCATCCCTGATTCATTTCCTATGAAATTCTGTATGTATCCATATTCAAAATTACCTTTAAACTAATCTATTTATCAAAATAAGACATAGAGGCTGATAATTCTTCCTTTTTCTGAAATGGAGTGATAAGCAGAGTGGACTGGAGTAAGGGGACAAAAGAGAGATAATGAGAAAATGTTCAGTTCTTTTAGGGATGTATTTTGAGAGTATGGTTTCATTATTGTTTTAAAAAAATAAGAGTTATGCCAATATTCTAGTGAAAGCATTTAAAATAGCTTTAAATACAAATATAAAATGAATTCATGTTATGAATTTATACTATTTTGAATTATGCACATTATTGTTTTTCTATTAGTGCAAGTAATGATTTTATATAATGTCATCAGAATTGACAATTAGTTAATTATTCCATAAAAATGTATTCTATTCTATACATTGCATGTATATTAAGTGTTCAATGTGTTAAATGTATTAAGTGCTCAATAGTTGTTGAGGCATCAGATGTAATGTTACATATTTGAATTTTTAATAATCAACATTTGATGCTACATCCATTTGGATAGCTATTGGCAGTACTATGTAGAATTCATAGAGTAATTTTGCATGCATCTTTTTAGGAAATGTGAAAATTACATAATATGAATAAAATAAGAACGTGTAAATATTTCGGAGCTAGAAACACTCTGGAGGTCATCTGAACCAAACTTCCACACTGTACAATATACATTGCTTTACTGCTTTGCTTTTTTATACTTTTATGATCTGGCATATTCTATACTTGTTTGTATTTTGTATCTTGATCTCTATTTCTCAACACAACCTCAATACAATCACTTTGTTCTTTACATGGCTTTCCTCTTCCAACCATTCTGCATACCCATATACATATATACATAAAGGTATTTAGTATATATAGAAAGCATAAGTGGAAGATATATATAGATATATAAAAATAGACATGGATGATGTATATATATGAAAATATATGTATAAATGGTACATATGTCCATATGGAAGATATATGTAAAATATACATGCTTATGTGATATATATGAAAACAGAAAAATATATACATTTATATGTAAAAATCTCTGTGTGTATATACGGAGAGAAATATATCTGTATTTATATAGACAATATGTAAATACATTGAGAAATTTATAAATATGTATTTATACATATATATATGTTTATGTATATGCATACACATGCAGGTACTCCTGAATTACATTTATGAATAGCATCCGACAAAATAATAATCCTTGCTAATATATTTTCTTTTTCTTTCCTGCTCCCTTCTTTCTTCCTTTTTTCATTCCCTTCTTTCCTTTTCTATTATTTCTTTTCTCTTTTATTTTTGTCTTTTCTTTCCTCCTTTCCCCATCTCCCTTCCCCACTTCATGTTCCTCCTCCTCTTCCCTAGCCATGTCCTCCCCACTGTCCTGGTTGTCTTTCTCTTACCTTTTCTTCTTTCCCATTCTTCCTTCCTCTATCTTTTCTTCCATTTCTTCTCTCTTTTTTCCTTCTTTGTCTCTTTTCATCCTTTTCTTCTAATCTTCTTTCTTTTCTCGTTCCCTTCTTTCTTTCCTTTTTTTTCTTTTTCACAGAATGGGATTGTTTTATGTTATTTTTTTTACTGAGCCCCATTTTCTGTTTGTTACCCAATAATAAAAAGGTATATACCTTATTGGTTACAGTTACAATTATGCCCAAATAATATTTGTACTCTGATCAGAGTATCTGTACTTGCTAGGTAAATATTTTAAATGTATAGGACAATATTATGGTTTTATAAAATAACTTCATTATTATTTAAGCTTAGGTAAAAGCTTAAAAATATAACTATAAATAATATGAGTTATTAAATATATAGTAGAACATAAATATATTTGACTCTTATAACCAGGACTTGGTTAGAGACAAGGTAAGCCACCATTGGAAAACCATAGCTAAGAGTCCAAGAAGACCTATAGGGTAATGTTGAGTCCTGGATGGTCTAGGCATTCTAGGAATTAATATTTGGAAATGAGCACAATGAGAAGATCTAAAGTTTGAAGCTATTCCAAAATCTGAGATCCCATATCACTCTAGGCATGATTGAGATAGGTAATTGACTGATGATATCTAAAAGACAGGCAAGGGGCTATCAATAGAAATATAAATCAACAAAAGCTTCTCTGGAAGAGACAACTGATGTCACATTAACTAGTGAAAGAGCTAGACTATTTAACTCAAAGGCAAAATGCTAATTGACTAAGATATAAATATATGGAGAAGGCACTGAAAGATACAGGAAGATGAACACGATTGAAGGAGGGTGGGGGATCATGGAGGTGATAGTGAACCCAAAAGTAAGACTGAGTTTATTTTCATTATAAACTCAAGCAGAGCTCCTTCTCTTTCATTTTCTAGTCTCATTGGAACTAGTAAATTCCAGAGTAAGTAATAATAGGATAAGCCCACAAGTAGCTATGTGTTATGTTAATACACCAACAAAGGTTAGAAGAAAGAGCTTGGCCACTGAGAAGACATTTTTCCGTGACTCTTCAGAGTCACAGTCTTGGGCCATGTGTTTATTTCTTTGATGCAAGTATTGTTCAAAATCTTTTTTTAACTTCTTGAAATGAATAATAATAATGTAATGGGCACCATTTTTTAGTGTTTACTATGTTCTAGGTACAATGCTAAAAGTGTTACATTACCTTATGCATCTTAAGAACAATTTGTGATATATTTATCATTCCATTTTACATATGAAAACAGGCCTAGAGAAGTAGTTTGCTGCTACTTATGCAACCAAATGTTAGTTTTTTAAACCATGGAATTTGTCAAAGTAAAAGACTAAGAATCTGTTTTTTTTTTTAAAAGCCCCATTTAATTTCTTAATAGAGGACTTGTAATCGTGTTACTGTATCTTTAAAAAGTAAAGTCCAGTAAAAATCCATTAACTACTTTCAAATATAGCAATCCTTCTGTCCAGCTGTGAAAAGTACTAGATGATACTTATTTGCCATTTGTGTTATTTACGGTCCATGACTTTTATGGTAACTGGTTCCTATTATTGGTTTCTATTAATGTAAAACATAAGTGAACATAAATGAGGCGTGAATCATTTCTTTTTATTAGCCCCACAGTCTTCACTCAGTACTTGCAGTAACTCCAGCTGTGTCTTGTTAGTGATAACCTATTTAAAGAAGAGATTTTTAAGAATAAGGAATATGATTAGAAATCTGTGTCCGTTTTATATTACTTCTCTCCTGCACAATAGTGTTGAGGAAAAAAATGCAATTAACAGCATAGCAAAATCTTGAGCTGCCTCTGATTTGTGTTGTGCTTGGTATGGTACTAGATAACAACTGGATTTTAGTTAACTAGAGTAAATGACGACTACATTAAAAGTAGAATATGTTTTAAGTTACTTTTCATAGTGCAGTTATGGTCTCTGCTAAGTATTTGCCTCATTAAAAGGTTGCTATTGGTATCAGAGTAATTGAAAAGTAGAGTTTAGAATTTTAAATAAAGAGCACTGTCAATAAATAAAAGTTACGATCCTTTTATGTTTACGGGGTCACTTTTTAAATATAAAACTTAGCATTCCCCTAAAAATTCTAATTTCATAAAAACACACACATTCTATTTATATTTATAGGTGGGTTCTTGGAAAACTGTGCTCAGAATCCTTTTCTAATATTTTTACTTATTCAAAAAGGGAGTGAGTTATTTTTTATAATTGCATTACAAGAAATGTACTTTTTAAAATTAGCAAACAAAGCAACCTATAAGTTTACAGTTATAGCTTGTTATATATATTAATATAAGTATATATAATATAAACTTATGTAAATAAGTTTACATAATATAAATATGTTTATATATATATACATATATGTAACATATACTTACATAAGAAGTTTACCAGTTATAGCATGAAAATCTTTTGATGTAAGTGGGGAAACTTCCGTTTAATTTAAAACTTTTAAAATGTAAACACTTTTACTTGAGGGGACATTTCTTGAATATAAGTGACATTCTTGTTATGTCATGTATTTTCTAACTCAAGAAGAACAAATCGTATTTTACAAATAATTTAGTAAACTTGCTGTACTTTGTAGAAGTTCACTAGGCTTGGTCATCAATAATATGCCAAAAAAGTCCTCCATAATAATATATGTACTTCATCGTGTCTTCTCAGGGGCCTTTCCGAGATATCACTGACGTGTTAGAACAACGCTACAAGCCTCTGGAGCCAACGCTGTGGGTGACAGAACCAATCAATGAATTGAAGCTGGCTAGAGAGCAGCTCAGAAGAGAGCAATGGGTGCGAAATGTAAATGATAACATGTGAGTTCTTAGCTTTTAAAAAAAAAGTTGTACCATGTTTTGTGTCTTAAATTTTCTAATATTTTCTACTTCCTAATATTTTAGAGAGACTTTTGTTTGTGAGAAGGTAAGGCCACCCTTGACCTATTCGGAAGTAATCATTTTTCAACATGCACATCTTTTAAATGAGGTCCATATTGATGTTGATATTGATAGCAAAAATATATATATGTAACTCAAAGGGAAAAAATAAAGAATGAATGGCATTTTAAGGAGGATAAAGGACCAGTAGCTATGCATCTGTGAAGACAATTTTCTTAATTATGTAGCAGAAGGATACATGTTTATGATGCTCCTAAAATAAGATTCAATAAAACAAAAACATTTTCTTAACATAGACTAATTTTCACTTGGGTATACTGACATAACATTGTAATTTTTAATAAATGAGGCATAATGAAAGAGTTTAGTTTTTTTTTATGACTGAGGAAAGTAACTGAAAAGATGAAGAAAGATCTAACAGCATATGCAATTTTAAATTATTTTATTGGCATCACTGATTTGAGTATCAATTCATACATCTTTCTCCAGGGCACTTTCTCCCTCTTAAGGCACTTTGTCATCAATAAAGTCACATGTAACTTATAAATGGACCATGTTAAATTTAGAATGGCTTTAAAATTATTATTGTTGTTATTAGTCTATAGTGCTTTTTGTAATTATCTTTGCAATGTATTGTATAGTAATTCTTACTATTATTTATATACTAAATAAGACATTATAACACAAATTATTATAATTATAATGTAATAATTTTAGTATAAGTATCATAAATTATTGTATAATCATATACTATAATATATAAAATTACAATTATTATTATTTATATATGTCATAACCATATAATATGTTATAAAATAACAATTTTTATAATAATCATTTAAAAATACATTAAAAAGTATGTTTCATTGTACCAAGAAACTAGAATTACCAAATTACCAATTATCCATCATTATCCACCAAATGATCCCAAATTAGTGGATTTTGGATCATTTTATCAGTCAGAGATATATACTATATATATATTATATCGTATACTATATATATATATAGTATATATATAAATATGTGCTTTATTTTAATTATATATGCTTCAGGAGACTCTTGAAAAATAAAAATTTACACACAAACTCGTATCACAGATGAAATTGTCAAGCATCTCAAGTCATTTTTATGAAGTTTTCATTTTATAGGAATTACTTGAAGTGAAATAATTAACTGTAGAATGTTTAGCAGATTCTTTCAATAATTGATTGAATTAATCCAACATATGATGAATAAAGAAATAAGGAACATGTTTTCCAATTAGTTTTGGGGAGGTAGTTTTGTTTTACCACAGAGATTATAGAAGATTAATACTTCTCAGATTTAGTCAAGCAAAATATACAATTGAGTGATAACTATCTAAAGAATTATATTACTGAAAATTATTTTTCTGTTTTGAAGAGTGCATAGGTGTATAAAATAGCATGATTAATTGCTCAAATTATTGAGATGATTTTTGATAATCTGACATTTCTATAGAAATGATTTTATATCAATGATACTGAAGTATCCTTGTTTAATATTTTCCTTGGTAAGTCTAGAAAAATCAGATATCAATATTATCCCCAAGGAAATGTGTTCGACTTGTATTTTCAATGGAATACTTGTAAATTTCAACCTCTGTCTACTATGTTAGTGATGATCCTTTACCCTAAACCTATTATAGACTGAAAAGCATTTTATACTTCTGAGATTATTAATTAACTATAAACAAATGAATTGGATATGCTAAAGAAATTATAGATTTGAAGCTATCATATTTTTAGCAACTAGGCTAAGCAATTGGTCTTAGCAACTAAGCTAAAGATAATTCCACTGTTAGGAGAATTGAAACACTGATATTTTGTAGCTTCTTCTGAAACCATTTGGTTTTTTTATACTAGATAGTGAATAATCATGTCTTGTGTAGCAAAAGAAATGTTAGAAATTTGTTAGAAATTTAGATGAAATGGGAGACATCCGTAAACATTTAGTAGCAAAGCAGAACTAGTAACTTGATTATTTGAGCTCCTCTGCTTGTTGAAACGAATGGAAAATATTCAATAGCTAAGAATCTTGTCTGCCTTCATTTCCTTCAAATTTGCAACCTAGCTTAGATAGGAGCCTTGGTAAATGTTGGATTACTCACTTTTAACCCTTTTAAATATTGTTGCTAATTGAATATCAGCATCATTTTATAGATAGTATGATAAGAAAAATGTGGGAATGTTTAAGAAACTAGATAGTAATAACAGTTTTAAAAAAGGACATTTAGGCTGAGCACGGTGGCTCCTGCCTGTAATCCCAGCACTTTGGGAGGCCAAGGCAGGAGGATCACTTGAGACTAGGCATTCAACACCAGCTTAGGCAACATAGTGAGACCCTATCTCTATAAAAAATAAAAAATTAGCCAGGTGCAGTGATGTGTGCCTATAGTCCTAGCTACACAGGAGGCAGAGGCAGGAGGATCACTTGAGCCCAGGAGTTCAAGGTTGCAGTGAGCTAGGATCTGACCATTGCACTCCAGCCTGGGTAGCAGAGTGAGACTCTGTCTCAAAAAAAACCAAAAAAAAACCACATGGACATTTAAAAAAATATATGATATAGATGGATGAGATCTGGTTATATTTATCACTAAAGAATAGTGAAAAGGAAATTTAACACCTCTCAAAACTTGTTGACTTGTGTGATTTTTTTCAAACACTTTAGACCTTTATAATTTGCATATTTTCAGAATGTTATTGTATTATGATAAATAGATTATCATATATTTTCAGATAATGTTTTCTTAACAATTCAACTTTTATTTGTAACACTTCCATTTATTTTAATTACTAGCACAGTGTGCAACATTTATTAATCAGCAGAGCCTTTTTAAGTTAAAATACAAAATTAGCTAACCCCATTAACACAGAATACTCCAAACAAGCAGTAATAGGAGAGGTAGTTACTGTGCAAATCGTATTATACATGCGGGTGCTCTAGGGCACAGTTAAGCATGATTACACTCTTTTGATCCAGTATTCCTCTGCCTCTCCCAGCTAATTTCCAGTGGAAATTTACAAAGTGCTGCCTTCATTTTTCCAGCTTAATTTTTCTAATGAAGTTCTCGTACTTTATAACACTGGGGATATAGATAATAAGCCTGTGTATAATTAAGAAGTTCTAGAATTTGTCTACAAAAGAGCCCATTATTACTTTGACTGTACAGTGAGAACTGTGCTCTCTTTTTGTCCACTATTTTTCTGAAAAAAAAGTTGTTCTTTTTAATAAATGACCACAGAATACTAGAATTCTATTCTTACAGACATCTAAGTCTAAAGAGGTTTAAGATATATGACATCTATGGAATTTGATAATTTGGAATACTTTTAGTGATATACCTAAGAATATTACATGTATACTTTTAGTGTGCTCTATTAGACAAGTCATAAAAAGGCACTTTTTGTCTTTGTAATTAGGTTTTGTCATATACTAAACACTCTTCCTAATAAAATGCCTAACATATACCAAGTAAAGGTTTGTTCATTGACTGTTAGTCAATTTATGAAGCATATGGAATTTCTTTTGTGAAAGACCTGTGTCTTATAGTCACATATATCCTTATATTGGTATAGCATTTATACATCCCAGATTTTTCCTATTTAAATATTTTTTCCATAGGCCTCATATGTTCTCATATCATTTTCAAGGTGTTTCAATTTCAATTTATGGTTCAAAAGTGTGAGGGGGATCAGAAGACACTTGAAGGCTGAATAGAAGTTTGCCAGGCAGAGCAAGGAGAGTGGCATGGACAGAGCCATCTTCTGTTAGAAGTGCACAGTTTGTGGGCTTTCAGTTTGCTGTCTGAGGAATCTCATGAAGTTTTAGCTCATAGCTTTGGTACCTGATGCAAAATGGAAGAAGAGAGATGAAAAGTATAAAGGGTCATGTGTATCATGGTTAAGTATTTGCACTTGATCCTGTAGAGGCAGTCATAAAATCATCACAGTATTTTAAGCACTGGTATGAAAGGATCAGATAGCCTACAGATATCAGTCTACTAGCTGTGTAGATGGTTTAGAAATGGGAGTCACTGGGGACAGAGGCCAGTTAGAGGACTGTTGCCATAGTCTTGTTCAGAAATAAAGAAGACTTGCCATAGAAATGAGACATTTATAACAGAGGGAAGAAAAAGTTTGACAAACCACTGTATGGGTAGAATCCTATAAACCTTAATCCAGATTTAGGGACCAGTATGATAGAGTGTAGATGGTGTGGTCAAGGGCACAGGTGCATTTAGAATTGCTTTCTCAGAGCTTTCTTGGTTGCAAAGGACAAAGATCCATTTGAGATTACTCGACAAAGTAAGGATATGTTTAAAAGACACCTCAAGGAATTTTATAGAGATATGAGGAACTAAAGGAAAACTGGACTATGGTGACTATCTTGGGGGCTGCAGGGACATAGTGTTCTCCCGTTAGTATCAACTATGCTTTTCTCTACATTTCTGATTCTTATCTTATTTCTACTGACTAGTTGCATCTGATGATTCATAAATCATAAATTTTCTTTCTTATGAATCTTCAGCTTGTACTTACCACCCCAGCCCTAATTAAACAGAACCTTCTAGCTCCAGAAGCCACAGCTAATCCTGTTTCTCAGTCCAAATTTCTGACAGAAAATCTGTTTTGTTCAATTTATATTATCAAATGGGCTCTCACAGGCCATGGGCTTGGAACACAATAGACACTTATTAAATAAGTATTAAATTATAGATATTAAATTAACATAGAAATAGACCACAATTGTGGTCTGGGGAAAGGTGTTTCACATTATATGAAATGCAGAGGTTTTTTTTTATGAGAGTAGGGACATGAACAAGGATTTCCTCAGATTGAGGAGAGCAGAGGCAGGAGGGTTCTCTAGTGCTTTGACTTGATGGCTCAGGTGACAGG